GGGGCCCGCAGGGCTGGAGTGCGGCTCAGGACGACATGCAAGTCGACCGACTATTGAATCGAATCCCACCAGCCCTCTGGGCTGAGGTGATTTCACAGCGTTTCTTCTTCCGTCCTCCCTCTTACTTCCCCTTCGGTGAGGGGTTTACCCCTCCCTACCCCCCTCCACCTGGGTCTGGACGGGGAGGGTCGCGGGTAGTTAGTGCGTCCAAGATGGCCTCAACGACAAAGCCAAATTCATTATATCATTGTCCGGGGGGGTTGGCAATCTTGGCCTCCTGAAGACCCCCCTTGTTAGATCGAGATTCTCCAAGATGGCCCCAAGAGGGCCCCAAGAGGCACCCACGAGGCCCCAAAGTGCCTCGAGGCTCCCACGAGGACCCCACGAGGCCCTCCCCCAAAGCAACATGCTGGAAAGCCTCGACAACGGTAAGAGACCTATCAAAATCACGAGAAACATCTGTCTGCACTCCAAAGTCCGCACTTTCAGCAATTCCCACCGTTTCTAGGTTCCCACACTCTCCCTCCCTGTCCTGCGCGCTTCCCCTTCCCCTCCCCGTGTGCATCGCGGCCGGATCGCATGCACGCCAAGCCCGTTGCAGTCCAAATCATCTTTCCCGCTGGTCTCTGCCTATACCCATCCACGCGACCCCATTTTCATCCATCCCTCACTTGGCCACGACGACACGCAGAAGACCAGGCCTGCTGCCAAGGGGTGCCGGAACTTCCTCTCGCCCCTGCCTGCAGGGTCGCTCGAAAGTGCGCCCGGGCCCCTCCTGGCAAGTTTTCACACGAGCCCGCAGAGGCCAGTGCCCCCCCCCCCGAGGGGAGCACGAGGGCACGTTGAGTGCTCGTGAGGCGGTGTGTCGGGCTGCGGAGGGGCAGCGCGAAAGGATTACCGCCCAGCGTTCGCTCCAGATTCCTCAGGAGGGCCCTGCTCGGGCCCGCCAGGGCCCCCCGAGAGGCCGAACGCCCCCGAAATGGCCACGAGGAGCCTCCAAGAGGCTCCCGGCACCCCCGAACGTTTGAGACTGGATACGGTCGGGCCCAGGCCGGAAGCGCATCCCTCAAGAGCACGAGGCCCTCCGCCGGCCACAACGCACGGAACGCCCGAGGGTACCCATCCCCCTGCATGCACGAGAGCAGCCAACAGACACAAAGAAAACCAGGGCACCCTCCCCGAACCGACCTCGACGTTCTGCCTCGGTCCGACTGGACATCAGAGGCCACATCCTTCGTCGACTGGCAGAGCTCCGCAAGGTGCCCTGAGGCCTCTGCGGCCCCATATTACCAGCCTGGAACATATCCCTATCCCTATCCCTATGCTGGGCACCTCCTCATCACGATGCCAATCTTAGGGATTCCCTCATTCTTTGAGGGCGAATCACTAAGATTGTCATCGCCCTTCTGGCGTGTCGATCTTGGGGATAGGGATACGTTCGAGGCTGGTAGTTACTCAGATGGGCGGCGAGAACCTGCCGTGAGGCGCCCGCTGGCGGGCCCCTTCCTGGCTCCGCGTGCCGCCTGCAGCTGCACCGTGGCCCTGGGAGAGGCCCCAACAGGACGCAGAAGCCCTGGAGGCCACCTCCCCCCCCCCCTCGCCATCGCTCGGACGTCCATTCCCTGTGCTTTTTTCGGTCTCGTGCGTGGTTTTCTCGCCTGATGATCAAGGATGCTCCTCGATTGTCCTCGCCGAAGGAAAAATGCACACGTCCGAGCGATGCCAAGCCCCCGGGTGGCACCGCGAGACGCCGGCGGCACCCCCTCCCCGCGGGGGAAGGGTGGCGGCCCGGCGCCACTGCGCCCTCTGTGGCTCCCCAGAAGCCCCCAGAACAGCTCTCCCGTGGAGGCTGTTGGGAACCCTGGGTGCCGTTCTGGAAGGGCCAGAAGTCTTTGGGGAAACTCTTCGGAGGCTTCGGAAAATATGTTCAGGAGACTTCGCGGAATCCTCTGGGGCCCCGGCCCCGGCCCCTGGAAGCCTCCAGAGACGCCGAGAGCGCTGTCGCACGGGCCCTGCAAAGACTGGCGCACGAAACATCTACTGCGTCAAAACAAGAGGGTGAATCCATCTTTGCCGTCATCATAATTTTTTGCGCTGAAGCCTGCCCCCGCGTCCCAGCCTGAAAAAAAGAAAGTGAATTGCACCTGAGGGCTTCCAATATTTGTTCCAAGCTTCCCCGGCCTCCCCACGACGTCGGTCCAGACTCTTCCTGCCATCTCTTGTACTCTCTCTTGCTCAGCGTGCCCTCCCCAACAAAGAGGTGGGCAGTGTCACGCCGGCGCTGGAAAACAAAAGCGCATCTGCATCTTCTCAAAGCCGCAGCATCTGCGGGAACGCCTCCCCCCCAACAAAAAAACTCTGTGGGACGTGCCTCGCAAGTCCTCCTCAGACGTAGCAGGCACTCAGCCTTCAAGGGCTGCAGACCTGAAGGTGGCCACACGGCAGAGAAGCAGGCAGCGGCTCCGCCCGAAGCCAGCAGGCGGCGTTGCGCCCGCAGTCCTGGGCCACTCGGCGAGCCTGTGGAGCGCATGCGCGGAACACTTGCCGAGAGGCCTCAAACCCCCGTGCTCACTCCCCCACCTTCTGGAGAGTGCCATCTCTGCTCCTCCTCCTCCTCCTCCTCCTCCTCCTCCTCCTCCTCCTCCTCCTTCCTCCCTCCCCCCTCCACGATTACTCAATATGAATACTACTCTCCCTCTTCCCCTGATGGCGTGCTGGGAGTAGCCGACCCCCCCCCCGCGCACTGTTTTTTTACACACAGAATTCCCGGGAGTTGGGTTTTCGCTTGCGTTTTTTTCCAAAATGCTGCTCTCGCTGAGGCGCTGGCCTCATTTCTGCTCCCGAATCGTTCCGAATCGTGCTCCCGCTGCAGCGTGGGCCTCATTTTCGGATCGTTGTTTTGCCTCCGTCGTTCAGGATGGCGTTCTCGCCCCAGCGCGGGCCTCTTTCTCGCGCGCCCATCCGCCCGCCACCACCGCGCCGCACCACGCCCCGCCCCGCCGCACGCACACCCACCGCCACTTCCACCACCAACGCACGACGCACGCACGCGCACCACCACCGCGCACCGCCACCACCACCGCACTACCCACCCACCACCACCACGCTACACCGCGTCACACCACATCACACGCACGCACACACACACGCACGCACGCACGCACACACACACACACACACACACACACACACACACAGACACACACACACACACACACACACACACACACACTTGAAATATTGGTTAAAGATAGGTAAAGAGCTGCCGACGTCTGGGCCGTTGATGGTGGTGGGCAAGTGTTCCGTCGTACGCATGGGTCTCAGCTCCCCCGTGTCCTTCCCCCATGTTCTTCCCTTCTTCCTCCTGCCCTCTTCCGATCGCTCCCCCGGCACCCACCTCCCTGCTGGCGCACAGCCCAACGCGTGCGCGCGCCATCCCAGACGAGAAGCCGGAGGAGGAGCAAAAGCAACAGCAACGGCAAGTATCAACCTGAAAAAGCATATTGCCCCACCCCCTGAGATTTGCGCCGTCTTCCGGATGGCCCCGTCTTCTTGAGGGACCTTCGCCTTGAGTGCCCCTACGTTTAGGTGCCAGCTCCTAGCCTACCCCGGGACACCCGCCGTCTGCACACAGAGGTACGTTTGCACGCCGACGCTTGGCGGTCTTCGTTGGCCAGTGCACCAAGCGTCGACCACTGGCCCCCTCCGACACGAATTAGTCCCTACACCTACTTACCAGCCCCCCAAGACAACCCCGAAGATGTTAAAACGCTTTGCTTTTGCTTCTCCACCTCGGCGACGAACTTGAAGTCCAGGTGGAGATTTGGTAAAGATTTGGTAAAGGTTGTTCTTTTCCTTCTTCATGTCCACGCCGGCGACGAACTTCTTTTGGTAAAGATTCGGTAAAGGCTCTGTAGAGGCTACTGGTAGAGACTGTGGGTAAAGACAAATGGTAGAGGCTGTGGGTAAAGACAAATGGTAGAGGCGATGGATAAAGGCAAGTTGGTGAAAGATGCAACACGATGCAACACGATGCAATGCAACACACGATGCAATGCAACACACTGGAAGCGAAAGAAGCAAAGGAGCTAACCTACTCATGGCTTCGCAGGAGAGAACATGCTATGTTAACGAACTTGTCCCCCTTTCATCCCCTGCTTATCGACAACTACAGTGCTTCCCCCGTCATTTATCCCACATGGTGGGATTGTGCATTCTCTATGCTACACTGCTTCCGGGGGTCACCCCTGCGACTCGATGCAATGCAACCCACTGGAAGCGCAAGATGCACTAGAGCGAATAGGGACAACAAATCCTGCCCCCCTCACACAGATGGCCCTGATCAGGGGCACAAAACACTAGCACCTACCACAAGCCTTTCCGTCTGTAGAGTAACGGTCTGGACGGGCTTGGACACTTTCCCCTCCCTCCTCTCTTTCCCCTACTGGCGTCAAGGATCAGATCACGAGTCTCAATGAAATCTGCGGCGCTGCGCTCACACCGCCATCCTCGGGTCAGCACCCCCCTTGGATACAGGGGTCCCACGACACACACACACACAAACACTGGAACACACACACGCGCACACGTGAATCGTGCCAGAGGCACGCTGGCTTGGTCGAGGCGTTGACCTTGCCCCAGATGATTTGCCCGACGCTTTCCCCGACTCTGCTGTCACATCGTGGGTCCACAAGCCCCTGCCCCCCCGGGCCTCCCCTCCCCCCTCCCCCTCCCCTAAGCCGTCCCCGTCATCAACAAGAGACCGGCGCCGTCTGTCCAATTGGCGCCTCATACAACGTGGTGCAAGCTATGGCAAGAACGTGCACACCTGCCACGAACGCGCGCTCTCCTGCCCCACCCAACCACCTTCCGGCATTCCTTCCCGTCTCCTCCGCCCCTCCCCCCACCCCCGCTCCTTCCTTCCACATCCCCCCTTCGGGTCCTTCGCCTATGAGAGACCAGAGCGCGTGCCGGAGCGATTCCCCCCGACCTGTTTTTGCTCACTGTTTCGCCTCCAGTCGCAAAAGGGCCGCACTGTCCGCGGCCGCCGCGGCCAGTTCCCGAGCGAGGGTGCCTACCACATGAGGGTACCGTTTCCCGACTGTTTGCATGGCTCCAACCAAGTCTTTGTGATCGTGTCCTAATGCGAGATAGACGACGGCCAACTGCACTACGGCCCGCCTGGCGCGGCGAATCGGGTAGCTTAAACGAATGGCTTGGTGCATCCTCCCAAGAAGTCCGGCGACCTTCACTGCTGCGCTCCCCCCAGACGCCCCGCTCCTATAACGCCATTTGTGGTGCATCGGGAACCGCAGCGAGCCGGCCTCGACGACGATGTCGGGAAAGCCATATACCGCGTATTGCGCCTCAACCCTCAGGCCGTCTGTGAGAACTTTCACACCGACAAAAGAATTGTCAGGCTCTGGCTCCAACACGACGGGGTCTACGTAGAAGCCCGGGTCAAGAAGCGACGATGGCACCAGGGTGGCGCCGCCGATTTTCCTCTGGAGGCCCAGAACCACCCTGTTGTCAACATACCTCGCGCCCGTCCAAGTCCACGCAGCGAGGGCGATCGACGCAGCGGCAGAATCCATCCAAGAGCGCTCCCGCATCATGACCGAGACCGTGCACCAGGGCGGGGACAATGGTGATCCAATGAACGCCCCGCGAATTTGACGCACTACGGCCCCGGCGCACTCGAAGACCGAAGCCTGCGCGGCGTGCTGGAGGACGGGGACGATCACTCTCGGCGGGACGTGCACGCCCGATGCCTCGCGGACCTTCCCGCACACAACTGCTCTCTTTGGCTCCCTCGGGAACGCGGTGAAGACGGCCGACTCTGGAAGCAGACCGGGGCGACTATCCAGAAAAAGGCGAAGCAGCAACTCCACATCTTCAAGCAATCTTTCTTGGGGGACGGACGGGAAGAAACCCTTCAAGTCTTCGTTCCACATCCTCACCGCCCACTCGTCACGCGCAATCGGGCTGCGGCCCGCCCAACTCTGCAATGCGGAATTGTACTATCTCAGCCGGCCGATGGCGTCGACCGTGGTCGCCGCGTTGAAGGACCTCTCACCCGCCACCTCAATGCCGACATCCTTCAATATCCTCCCGATCGCTTGGTGCAAGCGCTTCAAAGGATGACCTGTGAAATCGATGATGCACCGGGCAGTGGTGAAGCCTTTCTTACTTTTGGGTATGCACCGGCACGACGCTAGCTTGTCGAAGGTCCTCCCCCGGAACGCCCACGGAACCGCCGACCTGACACCTCGGGGGAGTACGGCGCCCACCTGGCGGGCGGCGCCCCCGGGGGACACCCTTTCAACTCTGAACACGTCGGGGGCGTTGAAAAACGTGTCGATGAACAGCGACGCATACAGCTTAGGGCAATACCCCACCAGTCTCGTGTATTGATGGTCTTCGCAGTGCCAGACAAGGTCGCCGTAGGTACGCTTCAACTCCCTAACCCCGTTCTCTGTGATGTGGTGGAGGTTCGCGATGGTGCTGCTATGTAAATCCCATTCCTGGTTCGCCCGCCAAGACACCCGTTCCGACAAGCCTTCCACGCCGCCCCACGGAGCCGAACTGATGACATTTTCCTCCCAAAAACTCAGAACTGCCTCAGTGGCGTGCTCTACAACGCTGCGCTTTCCAGGGAAAATCGTTTCTTTGGAATTCGCACTAGCAACTTCGCGGGCCTTCTTGGACAAGCCAGTGAGGAGATAGCCCCGGACCGCAACGTGCCCGGTGGCGGACCATGCCGCCTCTGGCAAAACGCCTCGGAAACGATCGCACACACAGGCTACAGCCGACGCTCCTTTCCTAGTCAACTTTTTGGTGAAGGGCTTGTAGTTCCAGACCCGCTCTTGGATGCTTGGCCACCTCGCCTCCGAAACGCCTACGCGCGGCAGGTGGAGCGGCATGCCGGCTTCGGGGTGCTCCGCCAGCAGACCCTTGACAAAACTCCGGGCTCTCGAGCCGGAAGCAGGGTGCGCCAGTGCGCCGATCTTCAGAGGCTTCGAAATGCGGGGAATGGCGAGTCCACGGTACTCCATGGTGTTGCCGTGGCCTGGCTGAACCACTGATCCACTGATCCTGCCGTGGCCTGGCTGAACCAGGTTCCCCAAACAATGCGTGCACTGGGGGCGCAGACTTGTGCGTGAAAAAATTTGACTGGCTTGTGTTCAAGGTTCACGCCTGATGGTCGTCCATGGCCGCCTCTTAGCCGCCCCGTGTGCTGGCTGGGTGTTCTGGGCTTTCGCGCAGGTGGACGCCCGCGGCCGCCCCGTGCGCTGGCTGGCATTGCCAGAGTTCCGTCCAGTAGGCGCTCGTGACCGCCGGGTGGACGCACGATGCGCCCCCTGGCGTTTTCTGGGTGCACGCAAGACTTGCACCACATAAACAACACAGTATCAACTTCACCCCTCGGGGTGCTGTTCCGAAAACAGCGCCTGCCCTTAGGAATGCTTGCCTGTGCTTCTGCATGGGATGGGTACGCCGCAGATTCGCAACTTTGCCGCTCGTTGTCGCCTGAGGGGGTACGCCGAAGATGCGCCACGTTGCCGCTCGTTACCGCCTCGCTGCGGCGTCGTTGCCGTCTTGTGCGCTGCGTGGGGGTATGCCGAATTGCCCCCTCGCCGCCGCCCGTTGCCGCCTGTGGGGGTATGCCAAGGATTCGCCACGTTGCCGCGTCGTTGCCGCCCGTTGCCGCCTGCAAGTTATGTCGAAAATTCGCCACGTTGCCGCCCGTTGCCTCCCGTTGCCTCCCGTTGCCGCCGCGTTGCCGCGGCGTTGCCGCCTGTGGGGGTAGGCCGAGGATCCGCCACGTTGCCACCCTTTGCCGCCTCGTTGCCCTCTCGTGCGCTGCGGGTATGTCGAGGACTGGCCATGTTGCCACATGTTGCCGCCTGTGGGATATGCCTGGGCTTCGACAATTTGCCGACCGTTGCCGCCTGCGTGGATATGCCGAGGATTCGACACGTTGCCGCCTGTTGCCGCCTCTTAGCCGCCCGTTGCCGCCTGTGGAGCAATGACTCGCCACGTCGCCGCCCGTTGCCGCCTGTGGTGGTATGCCGCAAATTCGCCACATTGCCACCTGTTGCCGCCAGTTGCAGCTTCGCGCGATATTTGGGTATGCAGAGGATTCGCCACGTTGCCGCCCATTGCCGCCTGCGTGGGTATGAAGAGGATTCGCCAGTTGCCACCTCGTTGCCACGTCGTTGCCTTACTAGCCTGTGTCCCAGCCGCGTAGCCTGTGGCGTATCTTACACCATATGGCGTGCACTTCGAAGCCATCATACATCACTATTTGGGATTCGTGCTGGCACCGACTTGTTGTTCTCTGAGTTTGTTTAAGCTACCATCCCCAGCCAACCAGCTTCGACCCCCTCTCCCGCCATCTCCTGGAGAACAGCTGTGCGGTGCGCAGGCGCTGACGTAAGAGGTACGTTCTGTAACAAATTATAGCATGCAATACCAAGCGAGCCACGTGAAAATGTCAACATCAGTTACATCGGTTCCACAGCGTGCGCAACCACACAATTCGCCGTTGCAACAAACTGTTGCCATATTGCTGCGCGTGAGCACTCGCTGAATGTATTCGAACGCTGCAAGCTGTTTGGCAACACATACTTGCAGGCAACACATACTTGCGTGACGAGAACATTCATCAACCACAACGGACTATCGTACTCGGACAGGTCATACAATACGGGCCAGACGCGTGCGACTCTGCGCGCGCACGTCGAGATCCTGTCAAACCCGTCTGTATCGAAACACGTCGTAGTGAAGCGCAATGCTTTGTCAACCGCACGCATCTCATAAATTTTGGATTTCTGCGCACGCACGCACTTCCTCATCATCACAACCAGAAACCTCACCAGGATCATCGCCAGCATCATCGTTGCCATCGTCATATCACCCCCGCCACCACCATGATTATCGCATCGTCGCCGTCACCACCACCGTCGACATCATCATCGTCGTCATCATCACCATCACCGTCGTCATCATCTTGATAGTCGATGTCATCGCCCTCGTCAAAGCTCTGCGCACTCACTTCCTCATCATCTTCATTGCCATCATCATCGCCAGGATTATCTGTGTCCCCGCCATGTTTCTCACAACCAACTTCATCACCATGACCACTATCGGCGTCGTCGCCTCCACCGCTGGCATGAACATCATCATCGACATCTTCGTTACTGTCGCACTGAAGAATTGTGCCAGCAAGTTGCGGGTGGGTGGTTGGGATGTTTGCCCGAGCATTGGAGGCGGTCACGCGCAGATGCGGTTCATAATTGTGCATCCCATACTTTGCACCACTAGGGTTGCATCACACAAGACATCCCACGGTTTGCTACGCGAGGGCGGGTGTTTTTCAAAATGTGGCTCTCGCTTTAGCGCCGCGCACATTCGCTTCAAACAAAAATAAGAATTTCACGGGTTGAGGGCGGGTGGTTTTCAAAATGTGGCTCTTGCTTGAGCGCCGCGCACGTTCCTTTTTTTATAGAAAATAACAATGTTTCACGGAGTCCCATTGTCAACGCACCAGAAATGGCGTGTGGGAAATATTCAGGATTATGAGGGCGCAACAGTTATTTTGATTCGCGGCGCTGAAGTCGCAAGAATGGCGTTCTGGCAAGATTCAGGATCGTCAGGGCGCAGCAGTCAGGTTGATCCGTATCGTTGGAGTCCCGAAAAATAATGTTGTGCCACGCTTCAGGATCTTCAAACGGCTGCCTTCCAACGAGGCAGTTCCCCCGGTGGAAGTGAACCGTTGTAGGGGCCTGTGAAGAGGGAGCTCGGAGGGAGGGTTTATTCCAACATCGCTGATGACTCTTAGGTTTGCACTGCTCCCCCTCCTCCTCCTCCTCCTCCTCCTCCTCCTCCTCCTCCTCCTCGTCCTCGTCCTCCGCCTCCTCCTCCTCCTCATCCTCCTCCTCCTTCCTCCCTCCCCCCTCCTCCCTCCCCCCTCCTCCCTCCCCCCTCCCCCTCCTCCATCCTAGCCCTCCCTCCTCCTCCTCCCTCCTCCTCCTCCTCCTCCTCCTCTCCTCCTCCTCCTCCTCCTCCCCTCCTCCAGCCCCCCCTTCCAGCCTTCCGACAACACGCGCCCAATCTTCCTCCTCCTCCTCCTCCTCCTACTCCTCCTCATCCTCCTCTTCTCCTCCTCCTCCTTTTCTCCTTCTTTTCTCCTTCTTTTTCTCCTCCTCCTCCTCCTCCTCCTCCTCCTCCTCCTCCTCCTCCAGCCCCCCCCCTCCAGCCCTTCCGACAGCACGCGCCCAACTCCCCCGCAGATCCGCGCCAGGGGCGATAACCACCCCGTCCGACAGGCACACACGCTGCCCCGCCGACCTCTCCCGGGGTGCGCCCAGCCCGGGGCGCGGACCCCGGCCCCCCCGACGCCGTGATATATCTCCGCGGAACGCAGCGTCAACCCCCACACAGAGGCCTCCTCCTCCTCCTCCTCCTCCTCCTCCTCCTCCTCCTCCTCCTCCTCCTCCTCCTCCTCCTCCTCCTCCTCCAGCCCCCCCTCCGGCCCCTCCGACAACACGCGCCCAACTCCCCCGCAGATCCGCGCCAGGGGCGGTAACCATCCCGTCCGACAGGCACACACGCTGCCCCGCCGACCTCTCCCGGGGTGCGCCCGGCGCCCGGGGCGCGGACCCCGGCCCCCCCGACGCCGTGATATATCTCCGCGGAACGCAGCGTCAACCCCCACAGAGGCCTCCTCCTCCTCCTCCTCCTCCTCCTCCTCCTCCTCCTCCTCCTCCTCCTCCTCCTCCTCCTCCAGCCCCCCCTCCTCCGCCTCCGCCTCCGCCTCCGCCTCCGCCGCCTCCTCCGCCTCCGCCTCCGTCGCCTCCGTCGCCTCCGCCTCCGCCTCCGCCTCCGCCTCCGCCTCCGCCTCCGCCTCCACAACGTCAACCCCCACAGAGGTCTCGACCAGTTCCCCGGGACCGGCTTCTCATCCTGCGTCGTTCTTGGACGGCCCCGGGGGCCCAGCAAGGCCCCCCAGAGCCTCTGGGAGTCCTCCCAGAAGTCCACGACGGGGGGCTTTTCGCTAACTATCTTCGACCTCTGGAAGGCCGAAGATCGCGAAAAACTCCCCGTCGGGAGTGCTCACGACGCGAGGAGCTCTGGGGCGGCAGAGCGTCGAAGCGCAGCGGCCACGCCCGCAGGCACCATGCTGGCGCCGTGCAGGCGCCAGGGTTCTGCAGCCGGACCGCCGGCAGGCCAGGAGGCCGGGTGGGATCGCGCAGGCCAGGCGCGGCGTCGAACTGGACGGAGGTGGACCCTGGCGTGGTGCCTCTTCCCAGACATGATCGCGTCGTAAGAAAACCAGGACGGGAGGTTTTGGGTAAATTTCGGCCTCGGGGGGCCCTCGCCGGGCCTCGGGCCCGGCCAAAAACGACTCGAGATGAGAAACCGATCCTGGGGAATGGGTCGGGACGTCTGGGGACGCCGTCCTGAAAAATCAGGACGTCGCATGTCTGGGTTCTTGAATGCTCATTCTGGGGGAAGTTCCTGAAGACACTCGCTCCACTCGTGCGTCGAAGCTGCGTCGAACGTCAGTCGAAATGAGCCGACTTTGAGTCGAACCCGAGTCGAACCCGAGTCGAACTTGAGTCGATCTGGGGTCGAAGTAGAGTCGAACAGATCCGTTAGGTGTGCTTCAAGAAGGTCCACAAAACGAGCATCTAGATCTTCATTGCCCCCCCTGCGGGAGCAGAAGATACCGACAGCGCTGATCCTCAGATCTCGCCCTCGGTGCGTTCCGACAAGAATATACCGAGGCGCATCGAGCCGCGGCGACCCAGATCCCCGACGCCGGGAGGCTTCCGCAAACGTGGACCCCGTCACCCGAGACTTGTTGTTCATCCCGAGTCGTCTTTTGACACCTGGGGCCTCGTCGTCCTCCTCGTCG